CGTAGGGAACCTCAATCAACACAGTTGATCTTAAGGGGAAAATGTACCCTTTCATCTATGGTGGAGTTGTTCCAAATACCTCACAAGGTTTTACTTCTGAGGATTCCAGGTAGTGTATGAAGACTGCAGAAATTTGTTTTCGAATGTAGGTATTACTTGCCAGGATCATTGAATTATATCTTGATGCCACAAACATTCTTTGGAATGCAGGTATTGCTTGGCAGGAACATTGAACAAAACCTTAGTGAAAGGAAAAATCGTTTTCTGTGACTATGACAGTGATAGGGATGGTCCAATCGAAGGAGGAGGCGCTGTTGGTGCGGTATATCAGCATGGAGGAAACAAAGATTATGTTTCTAGTTACCCTCTACCTCTTTCCAACTTGAACTTGGATAATGGAAGAGTTGTTTTCAACTATGTGAACACAACAGAGTATTTACTGTCATCTATACTGAAAATATTATTCATAAAAACTTTTAATTAGTATGACTAAACATCATTAATTTGGTTTCATGACTGTCTTGTTTGAACAGAAACCCAACTGCAACAATATTCAAGTCTTACGTTGAAAGTAGTGAGTTTGCCCCATACGTTGTTTCATTTTCATCAAGAGGACCTAACCCTGTCACAGCAGACATTCTCAAGGTAAATGAAATAAATTTCTCCAACTTCTGTTTGTAATTGCCTTAGCCTGTTTCTCAGTTCTAATTGTTCCGTTTCTTTGTTGATGCAGCCTGATCTTACAGCACCTGGGGTTGACATTCTAGCTGCATGGTCGGAAGCTACCTCTATGGCAGAAACTGAATATGATAACAGAATAGTTCCATACAATATAATCTCTGGCACATCCATGTCTTGCCCACATGCAACCGGGGCTGCTGCTTATGTTAAGTCATTCCATCCAACATGGTCTCCTGCTGCCATTAAGTCTTCTCTAATGACAACAGGTATTAGTTTTTAATGCAAGATCAATAGTTGCAGCTTGAAACGGGAACTTGGCTTTTGAATTCTCACATTCTAAGCCTAATCCGTCGAAATTTCCATATTCTTTTGCAGCTTTTCAAATGAGTGCTAAGAACAACATCGAAGGTGAGTTTGCATATGGGGCAGGTCATATAAATCCTGCACTAGCAGCTCAACCTGGATTGATATACGACGCTGGGGAGATTGATTACATTAAATTTTTGTGTGGACAAGGATATAGCCCTACATATCTAAAGCTTATAACCGGGAATAACAGCAGTTGTTCCGAAGAAATAAATGGAACAGTGTGGGATCTAAACTACCCTTCCTTTGCCTTATCTGCTACTCCTGGAAAATTCATCACCAGAGTCTTTCACAGGACAGTAACAAATGTAGGATCAGCTGTGTCAACTTACAAGTCAGTCGTCAAGGCTCCACCAGGGCTTATAATCCAAGTTCAACCAAGTGTACTTTCTTTCAAGTCTCTTGGGCAAAAGCAATCCTTTGTTGTGACTGTTGGAGCTGAAGTTGGAAACTCCATGATTTCTGGTTCTTTGACCTGGGATGATGGCCTGCATCAAGTGAGGAGCCCTATTGTTGCTTATGCTTCCTTATTCGAATGAACAACATCCCAAGGAAGAAAATAAATTTAACCATCTGTTTATTTGTTGTATTCGTACTCCTTCAATTTCATTTACTTAATTATTGAATCGTACATGCAATCATGCAATTGTGTTTCAATTATGAACATGGAAAAATAAAATGAGAGAGAGTGCAAAGAGTAATGTCATCCTAAATTTGTGAATTGCATCTATTTGTTGATCAAGAAAGTTGGAAAAGTAAATCTCACCAAAATTAGTACCTAGTTACTTGGTAAATAATTGTCTACAATATAATGTTGGTATAAATTAGCCATACCATAATTTTTTTTTATTTTCCTATATGATTATACAAATGAAAATATGAAGATAAAAAAATTCTGTTGATTTTGCCTAATTAGACACAACCCTTACAATATAAAATTTATATAAAGGATAATATATTTATCGAATTAAGTTACCATGGATTAGAGTTAATATATAATTATAATTTTCTCCATCAATTTTGACGTAAGTTCATGTTCCCTTAGTTTTATCAATTTTCTTGGTGTGAAAACTTAGTGCAATCTCCTCTCTTTGATACTTGGCCTTCATATTTTTTTTTTGTTAACTATTAATTCTTTCCAATATATAAAGAGAAAATTAATGCAAAGTTTTAGTGGTTTATCAAACAACATTGATTAATTTTATTAATATTCTGATCATGGTTTTTGTTATTATAAGATATTCATCCCATCCTTTCAGACAAAATTTGTCTCATTTAAGTTCATGTTGACGAAATTTCTGAAGTTAGAATGTTTCACTCGTGAAGGAAAAAATTGAAGGCCTTAATTGAAAAAGGAAAAGAGAAATCAATGCATAAGAGTTAAGAACAGGATGAATATGTCCTTGAGAAATGTTTCGTGCGAGAGCAAGAGTACATATCCACCCATTAAAGTACTTCAAGTCAAACAATATGTGCTACATATATGTTTTGAATGGCTCAATTCAAATGCCAATTATATGAGACAAACTGAATTGTTTAATAAGTTTTCTTCTGATCAGCACTTTTGGCAGAAATAAATGTTCCATAATCAGAAAAAGCCGGCCATTGACACCTTTCTTCCATTGGCGAGCTTAACAATGCTTATTTTGTTTGAAGAAATTAACACCATGGAGCTTATTCATCGTACAATTAATCAATACTTATATACAGCCCCTTTCAGTGCTATGGGTTATTGCAATCTCTAGCTACAGAACTCGCCAATGGCGGTCCAGACTTCTCCTTTGGCATGGCTTATGGTTACCTGTTTCACTGGTAGTGTTCTTGTTGGCTGCCATGGAGCCTCTGATGACAGACAGGCAATTACATTTTTCTTGCTTTCTTAGTTTTTTTATGAACTTTGTATTAGGAGGACAGTTAGAGTTGTGGTCCCTATCATGAAATCTGAGTTGATTTGCTTGATTTTTACAAATCAGAATTCATTTTAATATCTCTAGTTGTTTTGTTGAACCAGGTCTACATT